GTTGGGGCACCGGTGCCACCTGTGTCCACTCTGAATGGGTGAAAGTCCTCTGGGGCACAGGGCAGCGAGGGGAGGCCCCCCCAGCCCTGACACTGGGGTGAGGGACACTGGAATGTCCTACAGGGGGGTATAGGGGGTGTTTCTCTCTTCCCCTTAACCCCACAGCAATTTCTCGCTGACCCAAACCCAGAGGAGAGTCTCCCCCACCCAGAGCTGGCCCAATCCTTCCCAGGTGCTCTTGATGTTCCCCTGAGAGCCATGAGGCTGGTACCCTGGGATGGCCTGATCCTGCTCCAGGTGTTGTGGGGACTGATCCTGCACTGGGGAGTGAATCCCTGATCTCTCTCTAGGGGATGTGGGGGCTGATCCTGCACTGGTGGGGAGTGAGCTAGGGGAAGCTGATGCTCTACCAGAGACTGAGAGAGACCCGATCCCTCATTCCTGATCCCACGCCAGGATGTGGGCCCCTGATACTGATGTGGGGGATGTGGGTGCCCTGATCCTAGAGCCTGGTCTGGATGAGACCCCGCCGGTGCTGGGGACAAGCAGGACAGAGCTCACCGCAGGGTGGCTGTGCCCCTTTGCGTGGAGCCAGGGCAGGTGTGCACACACCTGCATACATCACATCCGTGTGTTAAACCCACCGTTTTTCCCCGTAGGCGCCGTGCAAAGGGCAGCATCACATTCACACCCGGCCCCGGTCACAGCGCCCTTACAGGCTGTCCTTGTCCTGCCTGGGAGGGGTGTTAGCAACCTGCCCCCCCACCCCCGCTGCCGGAGCCGCCCCCGTGGAGCCCAGCCAAGGGAAATCAAGCAAATCCAGCGATTAACTCCTGCGGAGAACCAGCGTGGGTGCAGCCGAAGGACGGTTTCATCCGGCAAACGCGGGTCCCCTCCGACCCACACCCCGTCCTCCGAAATAAAACAACTGTTTCAGCTGCAAAGCGGCTTCGAGTGGTTTGGGAGGGGGGAGTGTCACCTGTCACACGGGCGCTGTGGGGGTGGGACACATGGCCCCGACTGATTGCGGGGCTGGAGCTGCCACTGGGGTTGGTGACAGGGGACCGCACCTTGTCCCCCTGCTGTCCCCCTGTGCGGGGGAGGGAGAGGGGCAGCGCTGTAGGAACAGGGCAGCGCGTTCCCGGCGTGTTCCCAGAGTGTCCCCGTAGTGTCCCCACGGCGCAAATGCCAAGGACCAGCTTGGCTGGCACAGCCCTGAGCCCCGGCTTTGGGTGCGGGGCGACTCCTCGAGCCCAGGTGGGTCTTGCGGGAGGGAGGTGGAGTTCCCCCTCTCTCCGCTGGTATTTAGGGCACCAAGATCCCCCCAGAAATGCCACCGGTATCTCGGCGGTGCTGCAAAAAAGGGTAAAAAAGGTAGAAGAGCAAGAAAACGTCGGGGTTTTGGGGTG